AGTCACAGTGTTATGTCTCCCCTTCCATGCACTTCAGCTCTTCCTGTGAGTCTAAAAGCAGAGTGCTCATGAAGAACTGTGCCCAAGTCCCAAGTGAAAGCCAACATCTAACCTTTGGGAATTGTCACTATTGCCCTTTCTACCCCTCCTCCTCCAATGGGCTTGGGAGAAATAGCCTTTAGCAAGGAAAGCAAACTGAGCCTTTTTTTGGGGGGGGGAGGGTTGGTCATGGGGCTTGAACTCTGGATCTGGACGCTGTCCCTCACTCTTCAGCTCAAGACTAGTGCTCTACCACTTGAGTCATAGCACCACTTCTGGTTTTCTGTGTGGTTTATTGGTAATAAGAGTTTCATAGCCTTTCCTGCCCGGGCTGGCTTTGAACCTTGATCCTCAGATCTCAGTCTCCTGAGTAGCTAGGCCAACAGGCATGAGCTACCATGCTTGGCATAAACTGAGCCATTTTGAATTTAGGCTCAAAAAAAAAAAAACCCCAAACTCTTCTGAAGGGGCAGGAGCTGGTATGTATGGGCTCCCATTTTCCTTCCTTTGATGACTGGTAACAATCAGATGTACACGGCCCCAGCCCTTGGGTCCTTTTAGTGTTTTGCTAGTTTCTCAGACTTCACTGTACCTGGGCCAGGTGATGAGAAAGTAGTTGTGCCCTGAAGAGGAGGCAGACATGCAGAGAACCCTGCATTGGGAGCCAAAAGGAGGTCTCATCTCACTTAATTCAAGCCTCCATGTATGTTCCTTACTGGTAAGGTGGCATCCTGTCAGCTTCGGGGGAGGGGTGCTGCAAAGGGGAAATGGGCTAGGAGGGTCCTTTTAGATTGATGGCCTTGAGACCAGTGCAGGTTGAGGATGGGGTTATTGGAGAACTCTGCGTCTTGACTAAGAAAATAAAAGCCTGAGTTCTAGCAAGTGAGGCTGGCCAAATGTGACCAGGGCCAGCAAACCTATTTGTGAAAGTAGTCTCAACAAGAAGGATTGGTGGCTTCATGGTAGAAATTTCCCATAGTGTTATGGCTAGGGCCAGGCATCCCTGGTCTCCCCCTTAATTGGTTGTACAACTTGTTAGCTTACCTGTAGTCTTTTTTTTCTTCTTCTTCTTTTTTACATATTACTTATCCTGAATCTTTTTTTGTTTTAGACAAATAGCTCTTGAAACTCATAATCTGCTGTGTCTTCTGTATATAAGGTGTTGTCTTTTACTCTAGAATTTTCAGAAATTGTCTTTTGGTATCTTAACTCATATTCCTGAGTTGAAAATTGATGCCTAGAATTTGGCTGTTGACTGTAAACAGTATGTGATTACCTTTCCAAATTACAGCTTTTTCCTTTTATCCTCATTCCTTAAGAAGAGGCCAGTAGTGCTGGGGGGAGGGCTGCTTTAGTATTAAGAGAGCTATCACAATTTACTAAGAAACTATTTTTGAAGTATTTGGGCTCAAGTCTGAAAGTTAGAAGAAGGAGCAGCAGCAGTAATTTAACTGTATCTATGATTTATTTTCTAAACTAGATGATTTAATTATTGACCTGCATCAGATAGTGTGCAATACCTGTTCAGTTGTATTCTGCCCCTGCAAGTTAGGCCTACAACAAAGAGGCTGAAGGTTGCCTGCCAGGCACAGAATAACACCTTCAGCCAGCCTGTAAGAAAACAAGCTCAGGGGGCTGAGAATGCGGCGGCTTTTTTTGGTGGTAGAGTGCTTGCCTTGCATGCATAAAGCCCTGGGTTTGATTCCTCAGTACCACATAAAGAGAAGAAAGCCGGAAATGGAGCTGTGGCTCAAGTGGTAGAGTGCTAGCCTTGAGCAAAAGAAGCTCAGGAACAGTGCCCAGAGCCTGAGTTCAAGCCCTAGAAAGAAAAAAATAAAAGGGAGGGAGGGAAAAAAAGGAAAGAAAAAGGAAGCAAGCTCATTTGACCAGAGCAAACCAAAAGAAGCACACTCTTGCCGGGTGCCAGTGGTTCATGTCTATAATCCTAGCTACTCAGGAGGCTGAGATCTGAGGATCACGGTTCAAAGCCAGCCTGGCCAGGAAAGTCTGTGAGACTCTTTTCTCCAATAAACTACTCAGAAAACCAGAAGTGGTGCTGTGGCTCAAGTGGTAGAGCACTAGCCTTGAGCTGATGAGCTGAGGGACAACGCCCAAACCCAGAGTTCAAGCCCCATGATCTACCAAAAAATAATAATAAGAAGCAGAAGAAGGACCTGAGGTTTAGGTGTGGACAGTTCAAAATTATTCAGTGGTATGACCTAGGGTGCCTTTAAACTATAATTAAAAAGTAAGAAATGTCCAGTGGTTTCCTCCTTGGAAGGAAGGTACAAGACGGCTCTTCTTTCTGCAAGCTCAGTCATGAGAGTCTGGAGAGGTAGAGCTGAAGTGGGCGGCACCTGGGGAGTGAGGAGAGATGGTGTGGGAATGGGAGTCTACTGACTCATTTGGCATGCCTGTAGCTATACAAAGGTTTGGAGACTTGGGGGCTTGGGTAGAGGCTGGTAGAAAACAAAGCTGAATGGAGTGATTGTGAGTATCTGTAGTACCAGCTATTTGAGCCGCTTTGGTGGGTTGATTGCTTGAGCCTTGGAGTTCAAAGCCAGTGACAAAAGCAATGCCCTGTCTCTTAAAAGATAAGGGGACCTGGGCACTGGTGGCTCATTCCTATAATCTTAGATACTCAGGTGGCTGAGATCTGTGGATTGAACTTCAAAGAGAGCCTAGGCAGGAAAGTCTGTGAGTCACTTACCTGAAATTAACCACTAAAAAGCCAGAACCAGAACCCTTGGAACTGTGACTTAAGCAAGTGGTAGCCATACAGCTCAGAGATGGCACCCAGGCACTCACGCGCACACACACACACACACACACACGCACACGCACGCACGCATGCGTGCAAGTGGTAGCCATACAGTTCAGAGACAGCACCCAGGCACTGAGTTAAAGCCCCCCCTCCCCACACACATAAGGAGTTAAAGTGCCTCACCCCGCCCTCCCCACACATACACACTGGGAAAAAAAAAGAAAAGAAACACATAGAGCCTTGGAAACACAGAGCCTTGGTATCTGTGGAGATTTGTTTGGTTCCAGAACACCAGCAGTCTTGGGTGCCCAAGTCTCTTATGTAGATATCACATTTACATACCCACTAAAGTGCAAATTACTGTGCTGTGGTATTTAGGGAGGAACAATAAATGGGAAAAGCCCAGATGTGTGGGGGAAGACACAATTGTTTTTCTTTGAACATATTTAGTCTGTGGCTGTGGTGGGCTTAACAGTATGTCCTAACTGAAGCTGTTGAGCAGTGGTAAATACAAGCCACTAGGTTGAGATGCAGCAGATTTTAAGACTCGTGGAGCAGCTGTGGAACCCCATTGATCTGATGTGGACTATCTCACATGTCATTGTTTTACAGCGTCCCCAACTGTGACCAGCATTCTTTCACGTTGGGAACTGTTTACTAGAACCCGACGAACTTTAAAAAAAAATCCACTTCTATTTTGAAAAAGTAAATACTGCTCTTGACTAAATTAGTCAGACAACTTTTGCTTTAGAGGCTGGAGAAGAGTGGCTGCCATTGGAATTCATGGCCTTGGCTGAGAGTCCAGCTCTGCCCCTGAGGTCTCTGAATGTGTTTTCTCAGCCCAAAATGAGAATAATGTAACAGTGCCTAGTGCTAGATTCCTACTTGTATAATTTATCTCAGAAGAAAATCTTTTCTGCTCCTTATTGTGTATGGCTTTTTGACTTTTGGGTTGTCTTAGTGGTATGCTGGTCTAATTAATTGTTCTTGTTCAAGCCATCCATTTCAATAGTGTTAGGATCTTGGAATTATTCCCAACAAACATTTCTGTACTCTTTTTTGTTGTTGCTGCTGTTCCACTGTAGCCTACAGCCTGAAATCCTTTGGATTTCCTGGAATGTCATTAACATTTCTCTTTCTCAGCATGCAGTTTTTTTTCAGGGCTTACAGTTGGAATCCTTACCCAGAACAGCACATGCACAGTACCTTCTACATCCCAACACGTTCCCTTCTGACCCTCTCCAAACCTCCATTCCATCTTTTTTTTTTTTTATTCCTATATCCTAGATTCGTTTGCTTTTCTTGAATTTATATAAGTGAAAATTGGAGGTCTGGGAAGGTAGCTTTGTGGTAGAGTGCATAGCTAGCAGATGCATGGCCTTAGGTTTGAGCTCCAGCACTACAGAACAAATGAAATCTTTAAAAGAAATTTGAGGTCTGGCTTTCACAAACAGTATACTGTTGTTGCCAACAGTTGTTGCTCTGTTTATTATCCCATGTTCCTTTTGATGTGCTCGAGTAGTCTTAGTTTTGGTTTTTGGAACAAAGCTGTTAGAAGTCTTCATTTCTCTCTATTACTTAGCACATTTCCTAACCTTGTAACTGAGCAAATGTCTTCATCTCTTTGCCTCAGCTCCATCATCTGTAAAATGATGGGTTTGGAAATAATTCAGGGTTAGGACCAGCATTGTTTAAAAACTGAAGTATGATAACTATTTAAAGTGAAGGATATGGAACAATACACAGTTCAACGCACAAATATGTGTGCATTGGATCACAATATAAAATTTATTTGTCATTGCAATTTGTAAACAAATCAATTTGCAAAGTACTGGTTTGTATGTACCCTTGTAGGCAAAGTAATTGAAAGTCGTGAGGTTAGTTAGTAATCCTTACCTCTGCGTTTTGGGTATCTAAAGCAACAGTAATGTTCACTGTCATTTGCGTAATGCTTGCTATGGGCCAGACAGAATTCTAAAAGCTTTGTATACAAAACCATATATTTTCTCCACTCATCCTATGAAATGGGTTAATTACCATCATTTTATATATGCCGTCAGCCTGAGGCCACTACAGTAGAGAGAAAGGGCCATCGTTTGCACTGGAACTGACAAGTCTGAAGTCCTTACTCTGAAAGTAAATGAATTAAAATGTATTTGCAAGTTGATAATCACCATGCCCCTTCCTTTTATTCCAGATATGAGACATGAGTGTTGGACGTCGAAGAATAAAGTTGTTGGGTATCCTGATGATGGCAAATGTTTTCATTTATTTGATTGTGGAAGTCTCCAAAAGCAGTAGCCAAGAAAAAAATGGAAAGGGGGAAGTAATCATACCCAAAGAAAAGTTCTGGAAGACATCTAGCCCTCCCCAGGCATACTGGAACAGAGAACAAGAGAAGTTGAACAGGCAGTACAATCCCATTTTGAGCATGTTGGCCAACCAGACGGGAGATATCTATGGGCCCTCAAATATAAGCCATCTGAATTTTTGTGAGCCTGACCTGAGGGTCACATCAGTTGTGACAGATTTTAACCAGTTGCCAGACAGATTTAAAGACTTTCTTCTGTACTTGAGATGTCGAAATTACTCACTGCTCATAGACCAACCAAATAAATGCGCAAAGAAACCCTTCTTATTGCTGGCAATTAAGTCCCTCACTCCACACTTCGCCAGGAGGCAAGCAATTCGGGAATCCTGGGGCAGAGAAATGAATGTGGGGAACCAGACAGTGGTGAGAGTCTTCTTGCTGGGCCAGACCCCTCCTGAGGACAACCACCCTGACCTTTCAGATATGCTGAAATTTGAGAGTGAGAAGCACCAAGACATTCTTATGTGGAACTACAGAGACACTTTCTTTAACTTGTCTCTGAAAGAAGTGCTGTTTCTCAGGTGGGTGAATACTTCCTGCCCAGACACCGAGTTCGTTTTCAAGGGTGATGACGATGTTTTTGTGAATACCCATCACATCCTGAATTACTTGAATAGCATACCCAAGAACAAAGCCAAAGATTTGTTTATAGGTGATGTGATCCACAATGCTGGACCTCATCGGGATAAGAAACTGAAGTACTACATCCCAGAAGTTGTTTACTCTGGGGTCTACCCACCTTATGCTGGGGGCGGTGGCTTCCTCTATTCTGGCCGCCTGGCCCTGAGGTTGTACAATATAACTGACCGGGTCCATCTCTACCCCATCGATGATGTCTATACTGGAATGTGCCTTCAGAAACTGGGCCTCGTTCCAGAGAAACACAAAGGCTTCAGGACATTTGATATTGAAGAGAAAAACAAGAATAACATTTGTTCCTATGTAGATCTGATGTTAGTACATAGTAGAAAACCTCAAGAGATGATTGATATTTGGTCTCGTTTGCAAAGTGCTAATTTAAAATGCTAAACTGCATACAAGCTCAATTTTGCATAGAAAGGCATACATTGACTAGTTCTCATGTTGTGTTTTCACATTAGGGTAATTTCTCTGATAAACCATCAGAATTGCCTTCATAAGTAGTATCCATGTGAGGGCCTTTGAGCTCTTCAGTTTGGTACTGTTGTGACAAGGGAAAGCTGATGATGATGTATTTATGGAGGATATAGCAGGACCGTTGGTTCTGATCCTTCCCACTGCCTAGTGATCACTATTTTCTTCTTTGTTCCCCTTCTCATCTGAAATAATGTTTCTAAAATTTGGATGTTTAAATTTTTTTTTGCCCTTTTACATAATACTCCTACTTCCATTATTACAACTAATTTATCTGTAACACAAGTGTTGGTGTACCTATTGGCAACTAAGATTACATTATACAAGACTCTGGTTTTTGTAAAATGGAGCTGCATTTATTTCCATGGTATTTGGATGAATTTTTAAAAATTGTCTAGAAAATGAACTTCTCTCAAAAATTTCCTGCCACCCAACAGTATTCTCTTGTGTTAATTTTGCAAGATGAAAATGACCATGTATCACATCCAGTGTGTTTTGTTGTGGCTGTATGGTCATGATGAGAAGCAAGGTGGTTTAATTTTTCTTGTGTTTCATTTGCTGGGTGGTATGATCATAGTTATCTAATTGTAGTATTTTGAAAATTGTCAGTATGGTTCTATGATGGCCAACTGAAGATTGAACTGCCCCTGACAAATACATGGGTTAATGACTTTTCAATGTGGACCAGGAAAGCACTTGTGACTTTTGAACTTGTGGTGAAAAATAGAAGTTGCAGATCTTAAGTGGTTTGTCATATGAAAACTCCAGGATTCTATTCTTGCCATATTTTCAACATTGTTGCTTATATATAAAATCTGAGTAGTGATTGCTTCCCTGTCTCAGTGTAGAAGTGCCTGTGTTTTTATTTATTGTTCAGATCGAAGACCAAAACATTTTCTGAAATATATTTTATGTAATATTTTATTTGTACACAGTGTTGTTGATGAAATATTTAACTAGAGCATGATATTTTAAATGTTATGGTATAACATGTTAAATAAAGCTGTTATTTTTTGAATTAAAAAATTTGTTTTGGGGGGATATGAACTACTAGAGTTGATAAAATTCTGCCAAACTATTGCTTATATGTACTCTCTCATAACCTGCTTTCATAAAATATTTTTGTGTTTTTAGAGATGAGGAGCCTTATCAGATGTGAATCTGGGAATTGTATAAAAGTGGAAATAAAGTCACTGTATTTTTAATTATTGTGTGTAATAATCTTTATTTCACTTTTGTGTATTTGATTAAGTTTTCCCAAAGAGGCCATTTTTCCCAGAAACTGTTGCAGTGGTATTAAACGATAAACCTTTTTCTTATCTCAGTGGACAATCCATTTTTGCGCTTAAAATCTCTAACTTTTTTACTTAGAGTCAGTGATTTTAAAGAATTTAATTAGGGAAAGATACAGCATCGTACATCGTATAATCCTAAAGCAGGTAATTGGTAAAATATTGAAGCAACTGTGACCAACTTTTAGGAAGTAGACATTGTTAATGTTCATTTAAAAAGTAATAGCCATTCAATTGACTTTAAAGAGCAGAAGAACTAATGTAAAATTTAACAAACTGTCTTCTACTTGGAATATGGTAGTCATTTATGTGCAAGTCTGAGTTTACAGAGACTTCATGTAGGGTCTGAAACAGGCCTTGTTTTTCTGAGAGTTGAGTCCTGTATCTCATCTCTCCTGTCCAGTAATTGCTAGCTCATTTCCCAAAAGGTTGCCTCGCTATATTAACTTTACTGGAAAATAAAGATCTACGGACATTAAGAGGTAATTGCGTCATAGTTTCCATGTTGTCCATATAGTTTGACCACAGTCTCAGTCCTCTGAAAGATTGCTTAACTTTTTTCTTTTGGAGCTTCTCCTTCCCTGGTTTCAAGTCTCTTGCAGAAAAAGAAGCCATTTATCATGTTTGGAGGGTCACTAAAGGTGTTTGGTGGGCCTCCAGTTGGTAAGGGTACAGTATTTGAAAGTACCATGTACTGACGGTGTTTAGAGGACATGTTCACAGGTACTACTATATTTGACAGAAGTTCTTGTTCAGTGGCTGCCTGAGCTGATTCTTTCTGTCCAGTAGTCTGGCTAGCTGTTGTCCAAAGTGAACTCCAACTATGATCCTTCTGTCTCTACCTCCTGAGTATCTGGCATAACTGATCTTACTCTGTGGTGCTTACACAATGGAGTCTTATCCAGTCGTCCATCTCCTAGATGTAATTGCAAGTCTAATTCATTCTTTAGAATTGTTTAGCAAATTGAGTCTTCAGTGGGAACTGGTGTATGGTGACACCTGAGTCATGTATTAGGTTGAAGGTTAAAAAGGCTGAAGGAGCATTCACAAGGTTTATAGACTTTTCATAAACCCAAGTAGGCCTTAAGATTCAAAGGATGAGAGACCACTGTAGCCAATCCTGACCCTGCTTTTCCCCCTCTCCTTTCTTGAGTTGGTCAAGGGCGATTGGAAAGGAAGGACAAAAAGTCAAGAGAATTACTACCAAAATGCTTCTATTTCTGTGTCATTTTTGCTCCTTCGGAGCCGAAAGAGGTACTGTCTTGTTTTCATTTTCCCAAAAGATGAAAGAAACATATGAAACTTTGACTTGAGCTACAGGTTAACTTCTCTTATTTGCCTCTGATGAAATGCCAGGGACTGATGGTGTTGCTCAGTGGTAAAGCTCTTGCAAGTACAAGGCTGTGGGGTTCCATCTCCAGCACGCCACAATGAAAGTATCTTTGAAAGAAATTGCCATGGGCTGGGAAGGTATCTCAGTGGTAGACCACTTGCCTTGCATGCATGAGGCGTTGGGTTCGATTCCTTAGCACCACATAAGCAGAAAAGGCCAGAAGTGGTACCATGGCTCAAGTGGTAGAGCGCTAGCCTTGAGCTGAAGAGCTAAGGGACAGTGACCGGCACAGAGTTAAGGCCCCATGACTGACAAAAGAAAAAGTAAATGCCAGATTCTCGTTTAGAGTAGAAGAAAAGAATATTCTGCACTGTTGAGATGATAGGATGTTTGCTTTTTCCTTAATGTTCTATGTCATTTTTGTTTTCAATGTTAGGAATATACTTGCCAACTAAAAGAGATTTTGAGACTGAACTTTAGAGCTAATAGTAAATCTGACGATGGAAGTATTTATTTTAACTTAGATCTCAAAGTAATACAGCAAAGAATTTTTGGGTTTTTAAATATCACTATATCTCAGAAGGTAGAGGTCAAGCATCAGGTACTTTAGTTTTTAAAGAGCTCAGAAAAGCTAGTTGGTTCAGATAACATAATGAATTACCATATTTGTTTTCATAAGATGGAGCATTTTTTACATACTACCAAAAAATCTTATCGATCTGTATATCAGGTATATGATATGCCTCCACTGCAGAAGTATTAAAATTGAAATATTAGATTAACTAAAATACAGCAGTAGTGTTTTTTTTTTAAATTAATGTACTATATTGAAAGATGGAGTCTTAGTTGGGTGTGATGGACACTGGTAATTCCAGGACTGGGTGATAGAGGTAGATCTTGATTGTAGGTCAGCCTGGGGCAACATAGTGAAATTCTTGTCTCAAAATAAGGAATAAAGGGAGTCTTATTCAGGTGTGCTTCCTGCTTTTCACTTTGAACCATGTTCAGGAATTTTCATTCCAAGCACCCATTGTGGCTTGAGCCCAAGCTTTGTGCTTTGGCAGTTCTTTTCTTCCTGTTGTGAAGGGTGATGTGTTGATTCCGTGGAAGCAGGGGGATCATTTTGGTCAGATCATCTAAGTTGATCAAAGAGACATGCAACTTTCTGGTAGCTGCCCTCTGGGGAGCGGAGAGGTACGCTCTCATTCTACTACAGCAATAAGCTACTGGAGAAATCTCAGCCCAAGTATCTATAGCAAGGACTCACCTCATTGCACCAGAAACTTACTCTCTTGAGATTTTCCCTTTCCAATGTGTCAACCAACAGTCACCTTTCTCCAAACCCTCCTTGCAATTGGCTTTCCGAACCATTCTACTGACCAATCATGAATAACCCTGTTCCAGGGCCCCGCCTTCTTTCACCTCTTCTTTAAGAATAGATCAGAAGCCAGGTATTTGTGGCTCACACCTGTAATCCTAGCTACTCAGGGGACTGAGTTCTGAGGAGCCCAGTTTGAAGCCAGTCTAGGCAGAAAAGTCCAAGACATTCGTATGTCTGATTCATATGCCTAATTAACCAGCAGAAAGCTGGAAGTGGAGGTGTGTCTCAAGTGATAGAGCACCAGCCTTGAGCAAAGAAAGCCAACCGAAAGTGCCAGGCTCTGAGTTCAAGCCCCAATATTGGCACATCACAGGTACGCACAAACACAATCAGAAGAGTATATGATTTTTTTTTTATTTTTATTTTTGGGTCCGGTCGTAGGGCCTGAACTCTGGGCCTGGGCACTGTCCCTCAGCTCTTCAGCTTAAGGCTAGTGCTTTACCACTTGAGTCACAGCGCCACTTCCGGCTTTTTTTTTTTTTTTTGCTTATATGGTGCTGAGGAATGGAACCCAGGGCCTCAGGCATGCAAGGCAAGCGCTCTACCACTGAGCCACCTTCCCAGCCCCAGATGATTTTTTTTTAAGGTCTTTCAGGAACTACTTCTCCCCACAAGGCTTGCTATGTAGCAAGTTCATCTTGTCTTAGCCTTTCTTAGGGGTAGGAGTCTGCTACCCACCACACCCAACTTTCCAGATAACACTAAGTGATCCCTGGCATTTTATGAAAGAAGGACTAAATTCAGAGGTGGTTTCCCTCAGTAGAAAGTTGAGGAAAGGGTCTCACAGATTGAGCAGGAAGGAGGGAACAAGTAGTCGTGACCCCAGAAGCTGGAGCTTCCTGCCTTCCTCATCTTAGATCTATTTTGGGGTGTTCAGCTCATCTGTTCCCAACCTAAGCACTATGCCTGCTCAGGGTAGTAGGTAGGCATCTGTACTGCATTAGAGTGTGTTTGGGAGGGCTGGTCCAGCTGTTGGTTCAGGCAGACCCCTCACCCCCCCCCCCGTCACCCAGACTGCCCCCTCCAAGCTTGGTGCCTTTTCTGGCATTCTCCTGGGAACACTGACCTCCTCATCCTCCACAGCCTCCTCCCACTTACATCCTGGCCTGTGATCTGTCTCTTCCGTTTGTCTATCGATACAATTCTATCTTTCAGAAATGAAACATTTCTAGAATAGTCCACTTAAAAAACTAGTGCAGGGGCTGGGAAGGTGGATCCGTGGTAGAGTGCTTGCCTTGCATGCATGAGGCCCGGGGTTCGATTCCTCAGCACCACATAAGCAGAAAAGGCTGGAAGTGGCGTTGTGGCTCAAGTGGAAAATTAATTGCTAGCCTTGAGTTGAAGAGCTGAGGGACAGCGCCCAGGCCCAGAGTTCAAGCCCCACAACTGACCCCCCCCCAAAAAAAACCTCAACTGGTGCAGCCTTGGATGTCTCTGGCTCTTCTTACCATTGTTGCATAGTGATTCTAGCAGAATGGGAAGCAAACACTTGTTTGTGACTGTGCACTGTCTCTAAGTGGAAGCCCTGGTATCTGTGCGTGTGTGTTTTTCCTGACCCTTGCACCAGTTGACCAGGTTGGCAGTTTCACCTAGAAACTCTCCCTGCTTGATGATAGGTGATACAGCATCCACTATCTAGGTTCAGGTTTTAAAGTTTCCTTTATCTCCATAACCCTGGATATCTCCTGTCCACTTCTCAAGGTTATCTCTGGTCACCCTCTCCCCAGCACGTCCACCTTTTATTCCTGTTTTGAATCAATGTCACTTTTCCATCTTCTGTGGTGAGAGGCTATAGGTCCTTCAAGCCAATGAGGAAGCTTCCAGGTTCACTTCCCGCCCACCCTGCTTACCATGTCTACAACTGCATCTCCCCTGGATACTTCATGAGACAAAGTGACCTCTCCTCCTTTAGTAGGCTCTACCTCTGCAGAAGCTGCTGGCCTGGCTTCTCCCTAAAACTTAGTGTACACTTTGAGGGGCTTTTCAGCTGCCATAAATTTCTGGGGTGGGTAGGAAATGGCCAGCCACCCCCTCCCCCAGCCTTCATCTCCCCCACAAGACTTCCTCTTCCTCTGACTCAGTTGACCCTCTGTCGCCTTCCCTCTTCTCGTTCAAGGGTTCAGACAACAGGTTGGAATGCTTTTCCTCATTGCAAAACACGGCACAATAATGAGATGAGAAGTAATCTCAGGATAATTT